TACAAAATCAAAAAAATACTTTGAAAGACTAAAGGATGTAGCTCAGTTGTAGAATGTGTGTTGAGCACAAATGAGGCCCTGGGCTCAGTCTCTAGCACCAAAACCATTTCAGGATTTAGTATCTGATAAAAAAGCAATTTAGCAAATTGTGTGTGTGTGTTTGTGTGTGTGTGTGTGTGTGTAATGAACTATTCAATAAGGTGATATTGAGATGACTGGATATCAATTTTAAAAAGCACAAAGATAGAGCAGTATTCCCTTACACCAGAATTACTTCCAGATGTATTATAGATTTAGATATCAAAAACAAAACCAAAATACCCTAGAAGTACTACAGGAAAATGTGAGTGATTTTTTTTTTGATAGAAAAAAATACAAAATCCTGAAATAATGGATAAAAAATGAGGTAGAAATAAGAGACGGATGATGGTAATTCCTATATTTAGATGGTGGGTGCAACTGGGAGTCACTTTGGCAGCATTTATCAAAATTAAATGTGCCCATATACTTCAACCCAGCAATTGATTTTTTTCAGTAATTTATACTGAAGAAATATTCCTTATAAGTACAAATTGTTATAATAAAAATGTTCTTTACAGTATTGCTTATAGTACCAAAGAGCCAGAAACTTTCATTTTTTTTGTACTAGGTATGGAACCCAGCCAGGGCTTTCACACTGAGGTACATCCCCTAGCCCAGTAATGGCAAACCTTTTAGGGCTTTCAGTGATAACAAATAACCTATGCATGCCTTAGGTTCGCCACTACTGCCCTAGCTTTTATTTATTTATTTACTTAAAGACAGGGTCTTGCAAAGTCACTAAGTTGCCCACACTGGCTTCGAACTTGCAGTCTTTGTGCCTTACCTTCCCAGAGTGCTGGGATTATAGGGGTGTGCCACCATGCCTGGTTTAAATCTCCATTAATTACAGAACACCAAATACATTATGATACAACCCTTAAAAGAAAGACATGTATGTACCTGCTTGTTTTGGTAAGAAATTATTTCCATATGCATTTGTTAGTTAACTACTGTATAGTATGATTTCTCATGTGCAGGGGAAAGAGATATATTCTATTTAGTTTATATTTTACAGAGAAAATTCTGGATGTGTACACATTATTATTGGTGTCTACCTTTAAGAAGTGGGCCAAGAATAGCAGGAATCATAGGTTTAAACACTTTTACATTTTTTGCATAGTTATTGATCTTAGGATTGCTAAATTGGGTCTTCTGCTACTCTTCAGCAAAAAAGAAAGAAAAAGAATTGCTGGCATTTGAAGAAGAGGGAAAGAACCACATGGACAGACTAACATGTCTGGGCCAATTGCCTCAGAGATACATGCTATCTGATTTTAATAGGTTTTTTTAAAAAAAGTATGTTTAAAACAATTCTGTGAGGCCCAAGTTACAAAATACTGAGTTTATTGGAAAATATATGCCACTTCTTTTTTTTAACAATTTAAATTCTTTAAATTTGTTTTACTTTGCGTTGTTAGGCATGAAGACTCCAGACAGGTAAAAAGATGAAATCCCTCCTACTTGTCAAGCTAAAGCTGACGAATATACAACTGAGGTCTTTTTATAAGAGACTAGGTTAGGACTCATTTGTTTGAAAGCCCATGTACCTTGTATGTTTCACCTTATCTGGCTAGTCAACAAAATTAAGTCACTTTGGTCATGTATTTTTGAAAAGTTAAAGTTTCTATCACTCTAAGCTCTGCTTAGCAAGTGCAGTCCTATTTTCCTCTGGAATTCTCCTGTCTAGAGATCCCCAGTGATCCTAGGGTTACTCATTTCTTCCAAATGAGTCCTTCCAAGTTATTGATGGTGGAGGGCCGGTGAGTCAGCCACAGTGCCCAGTCAAAGCTCCTCTTCCACTGCTGCTGCCTGGGATCATGGCCAAGGCCCAGGCGGCCAGGCTTGGCAGCACAGGCTAGAACAAATGCCTATTTCCTCCTGGCCCCCGCTACCCAGGGTTACCAGAGGTCCCACCTTCAAATACACAGTGCAAAAAGCCAGACTTCTCGCCTGCGGATAGCCTCTAAGTGCAAACACAGCCCTGCTCTCATTTGCCAAAACACAATCAAGGGCAGACACAGAAACAAAATCACAGTTGATCACAGTGTCTGCCAATACCCAGTAATGTTCACGGGCACTTTTAAATGAAACAAGTCTTGTGAATTCCCAGTTGTTAAATTACCTTAATTATGTTTATTAGGTGTAAATATCAGGCTAGATACACATTCCTTACTTTCACAGCTTTCTACATCTATAAAATTAAAATGATTTTACAAATTGAATTCACAAAATTTAAAATTCAATTATTTTATGACTGCATTGTAGTGGATGAAGTTATTTTGCTGAAATTAAATTATTTCTTGAGATGAGGATATTGAGCTCACTGTTAATAGTTATAACTTGTGCCAAATACAAAAGCAAGCACAGTGTTAGGTTACAGGGAGGTCCTCAGATAATTCAGGATAGGTATTAAAATATTAATTTTTAAAAGAGCATAATTTAACTAAGACCAAGAGTTTACATATTTTGAAAAGAATTTTTTCTCTCTCCTTTTCTGTATATATATATATATATATATATATATATATATTTAAATTCAGTTTAATGAATAGTGTCCACACCTTAGAGGCTTATTAGAAATGTACTTTAAAGTCCCACCCCAAACTTAATGGATTAGAACCTATATTTTAACAAAATGCTCAGGTGAGAGATATGCACACTAAACTTTAAGAAGCACTCACTTATTATTTCCCATTTCAGTCTTCAATGAGCCCATGTGGTGATGGGACACAGGCTAATGGTCCCTTTTTCCTTTTAAAACAGTTATTTATTCTTTTCTTTGCAGAGTTGCTGAGGGTACATTTAAGGGGAACTCAAGAATTTGATGGAGTGTATTGGTGACTCTCAAGGACCCTTCCTGATGACTTCCCCAAAGGTCTTTCTATTCAGAAACTTTTATGCATAGCTTTATACTAGCCACAAAAGACTATATATGGTATGATTTTATTTACATGAAATATCAAGAGTAGACAAACTCATAAAGACAAAAAACATATTAGTGATTGTTAGGGGGTGAGGGAGAAGGGAATGGAGAGTGACTGCTAATAGGTATTGGATTTCTTTGGGATGTGGAATTAGTAGTAATAATTAGTATATAAGAGTTTTTGAGGTGAAATTCGATAGTAGTAATGGTTGCACAACTTTGTGAATATATCAAAAAAGCATTAAAAAAAGTGTACACTTTAATGAATGAACTTTGTGGTATGTGAACTATATCTCCTTGTGTTGCCCAGGCTGGTCTCAAACTCAGGAACTCAACTGATCCTCCTGCCTCACTCTCCCGAGTAGCTGGGACTACAGGCAAGCACCACCAATTTTTTAAAAAATTGCTTTGGAGTTTTGCTAACAAGAGAAAATGGACATGAGGCTTACATTTGTTTATCTAAAGGGCTCATCCTGAGGAGTTTCCCAAAACAAAGAATGTTCTTTTTTAGCTCTCACTAATGTTGAGACTCTAGATGTTCTTAGATTAGGAGTCAGATTTGTATTTTATAAAGGTCACTGTAGTTTATAAATGGGGTAGGAAGAATGGGCTGGAGGCAGAGGGTTTGAAGATAGGAAACTTACTTGGGACACTAATTACAAGGCTCTATGGTACATTAACAAGGACAATCTAGACTTGACTAGTATCACCCAGAGACACAGAAAAGTATGAGATTTGGAAGCTGAGGAAGAGTCTGCTCTATTTCAAGTATCTTCCTGAATTCTACCCACTGGAGAGATTCAAGCATTTCACTCTTTATTCTTTCAATTTACTATTTTTTTTGGTCCGGCAGTGTCGTCAGGCATTATAGGTGATGAAAACATTACAGAGGATGAAAAGGAGAGGTCCTGTTCCTCCAGAAGCAGTAGTTATCAGACCCTGGAGTAGTGGCAAGACCCACACAGGGCTTATAAAATGCACACTGTGATAAGAACCAAGGGGAGGTACAGGCCTAGTGCTATCAGCATCAAAGAAGGAATAAATTACTTTTAGTGGAATTCCCATTGGATTTTTTGGAGAATGAGTGGCAATTGACAGATAACAGGTGAAAGTTAAGAAAAGAGCTTTTTAACAGAGCATTTTGTACAGTTAAATGTTAAGACGCACCCAGGTAAAACTTTTGGCACGATAATACCAAATACATATTTGTTATTAGAGTGATTTAATTTTAAAAAGCACAATGTTCCTGGCACAGAGAAGGACCCTGAGCGTTTCTTTTATAAATGAACGTTGTTTAGCTTTGGAAGCCTCGATTTAGGACAGGAAATGACTCAAAACTATACCGCAAAGCCTACGTCCTCTATTAGCATTGAAGTTGGAAGACCTGGTGTCAAGGGACCTGGTTTCCCCCTTTCCCATTTAGATTTCTCGCCCACCTCCGCCCAGCGCGCCCCTCAGGTCCCCAGGTCCTGGGACTGGTGGGTTACAATCCAAGCAACCAATCGCGGTACGGCCTTGGGGCGGGGCCATGTCGCTCCACCCCTCCTCCAGCCGGTCTTCCCAACCTTTCCATACCCGGCCTATCTCGCACCTGCGTGTCCCTCGGCGTCTGGGCTGGTGCAACCTCTTTTCCACCCCTAGCGGGAGGGGCGTGGCTTCGCCTCTCGCGAGACCGCCTCCTGTTGCCGCCGCCGCAGCTCCAGGCCGCTGACTGGCCGCGCCTGCGCAGCCGCCATGTTCGGTTGCTATGCTGCGGCCTAGGAGACGGGGTGTGCTTGAGGGAGGAGGAGGAGACGAAGGAGGAGGAGGAGGAGGAGGAGGAAGAAGAGGAGGAGGAGAAGGAGGGGGGTGACTGAGCGCCTCTTGCACTCTCACACACAAACGCTCCCCACGATTGCCAGCCTGCTCGCGCCGCGCTGCGCTCCTTTCCGCTTGTCGCGGCCCCCCTACATTGTTCTCCCAGGACTCTGGGGTTCTCAAAAATTGGGCCTGTGCTGGGGCCGGGAGAAATTTGGATTTGGCTGAAGGGTCAGAGGTTTGGGGCCAGGTCCCCCGCCCCGAGCTCCCCTCCCCCACGGCACTTTGGGGGTGTGGATTATCTCATCCCGGCCGGGAGGTGGGAGCGGGCGCCGGCTGCCCGCCTCCCGCCGCCTCCCGGCGCGCTGGCCCGCGGCAGCCCCGCAGTATGAGGTGGTGCTGGCGGCTCGGGGCCGTGGCGCGGCCGCTGCGGCGGCTGCTCGGGGGGCGCTGAGGGAGCCCCCCGGAGTGGCGCGGCGGACACGCTTCTTCCCGGCGTGCCGGGGCCTCCAAGCTTATTCTCCAGCCGAGAGGACGCGGCTGTGATACGAAGGTAAGAGGCGCTCAGGTCCCCGCCCGCCTCTCGGCCCTGCCCGATGTGTTCGAGGTATTACCTGGGGCGTGTGCGGCTCGTGGGAGGTGAGCCAGGTGGGGCAAGCCAGAGGCACAAAGTTGCTTGTAGGAACGGGAAAAGGCGCCCTCCCACCTTTCTGGGACCTCTGCTCTTGCAGCTTCCAGTGGTTATAAGTTGAAATCTCTGTTAGGGGTGAGCGAAGGACAAGGGATGGAATAGGTTCGGAGATGGAAGGTTCCGAGGTATCTAAACTCTAGGTAAAGCTTTAGAATGTTCAGTTTTTCACTGCGGGTAGACCCCTCCCCCTTAATTGGCTTATCTGAGTGCTGCTTGCAAGCACATGAACGGGCTATCGTTCCCATTGAAATTTTAAACCCCTTATGATTGTACCGGTATGGAGTTGTGTGTAGGAATCTGTAGTCTGGTTAAAAAATAAGTTGAGTTGTATTATGATAAATAGATGTAACTATGCACTTCCTAAGGTGTCCTTAAATGGAACACTTTATAGTTGTACAGATATATGTATGGATGTTTCTGCGAAACTTGGGATGGTAGACTTGGGTTTGCATCATAGAGTGATATCAGCATGCGCTAGGACGATTTGCTTGTTCTTTGAGGACCTGTGATATCTGCAATATACCAGCTACTTTTCGAATAAGAACTTTAATACTGAGTTTTGTGACCAGATCATGGGCCATTTAAAACAATACAGTTCATTGGTCACATTTCTATGGAGAAAAAAGCCAAAAAGTCAAGGCGTCCGACCTTTAAAAGACAACTTGAGTGTAAAGAAGACTGGAACAGCAAAAACCAGAGCATTTTTGTGAACCTTAATGTGCCACAGGGGTAAAATTGTTTTTCATTTTTCAAGGGGGGAGGGGATGACCTTAAATAATTATTCAGAGCCCAGAGTGTACTTAGTAGAAGAGAGATGTACATACTAGTTAAATCTTGAATTCGATGATTGTAAATACAACTGAATTTTGAAGAAAAATAAAACTTTTGAAGAGAAAAAGTGTGTATTTTACAGAACTGCTTTACTAACTCATAATAAGGGAGTTCAGTGATTCTGTGGACAGCAGCATTTTTTGTCAGAATAAATTTCTGCTCCAGTTACCACAAAAGCTATTTTTGGGTCTCTGCATTTTTTATGGCACACATATCTTTGTACGTTTTGTCTTGACACATGTGCATGGACCCATAAAATCATGATCTTGAGTGATTTATCAGAGCAACGTGGATTTTTTGTTATACAGTAATTTTTGTGATTGAGCTGATCTGTTTTAAGCATGTGGCAAGAGAGCTTTTAAAACACAAGAATTATAGTGTTTCTTAATATTAACTGAGTAGGTTAAAGTTTATTAAATTAGAAAATCACAGATTCCTCAAAAGTAGCAATAGATGAGGATATGACTTTCTTATTGCCTGTTTTCTAGTAGCTTCTGGCTATATGGGTGAATTTGCAAATTTGTGGTTTTTTTCTTCTGACCTAATTGAATATCTTTAAATTGTCCCTAGTAACATTGTTACTTTAAATGTATGACACCTAATTTCTAATTTAGGCTAGGCATAAAACCAGCATTGATTGGACACACTTGCTAAAAATACTTTCTGGGTCGATGTACTTAGAATGCAGCCTCAAGAAAATTCATTTGAACTCTTCTGTGACCATTGTATACTTCATTATTATTGAAGGAGTTTTTTTAAAAATTACAGAATCTCACAAGTTATATTTCATCAGTTCATAGCTCCTAACTTGTTTTTTTAAAATTGATAAAGTAGGATAATTAATGTGGGATAGTAATAAAAACTGCAGATTTTTCTGTGGTCTTGGTTTTGTTTTGTTTTGAACTTACATGACTGCTATCAACTCTTATTAAACGCTATGGTTTGTATATTTGTTCAAATATTTTAGTTTTGCCCATTAAATATAATTAGAGTTGTTAAGTGACAGTTCAGTGTTACTGATTTATATTTATTTATGACGTAAACTCAGAAATGGGGGTCTGGTCATGTTGTCTAGTAACATCTTTAGGGAACAAATTAAGAAGCCATTTTTTTTCCTGTGAGGGTTACTATGATCGCTTTTAAACAAGAACACTATTTAAAAATAGGTGCAAATCCTAACTTGTCAGATGTTTAAAGGCAAGTGGTTAAAAGTTTTTGTTGAATTCTTTATGTTAGTGATTGGGAGTGCAAAATCAGTGAACTCATTAATATGTGTGTGACTTGAGGAACTATAAATTGTTGCTCTAAATGAAATTTGGTTATCGGTAGAAATGTGCTGGGCACAGATTGAGTTGAATTCTGTTGTTTTTCTGGATTATTGCATGTTTTGAATACATAGTTTACATACTGTAGTCCAGACACATTAAATTTATGAGTCCACAAGCTGGGCACCTTGGCACCTGCCTGTAATTCCAGCACTCTGGAAGTTGAGGCAGGGGGATAGTGGCAAGTTCGAGGCCAGCCTGGGCTATGTGGTGAGTTCAAGGCCAGCCTGAACTACATAGCAAAACCCTGTTTCAAAAAACAAAACAAAACAAAATGAAAGCAAGTTTACCAGTTCACTAGAATAAATAGCGAAGAAATGAATATTGGTTTAACATTCTGGAAATCTTTCTATTGTTTGCCAGGAAAGCACTGTAGAAGGAAGGTGTTATTGTTTCTTCTTTTGATTTTCAATTAGTACAGATGGTGAGAAAAAATATAAAGTAGAAGTTCTGTAGAATTTTCTTTAATGGTATGGAGATATTCAGTTGTCAGGGACAACACAGTGTGTTTCATATCCTTTACACGAGACGTCAGTATAATCAAATATATAATGAAGTGAGGAAAGAAGTAGAGAAATTTATTACACTTTTTATTAGAGGTATTTTTGCTCACCTTCATTCTTCACTTCATTACTCCAAGTAGAAACACTGAGAAAGAGGTGAAGAAGTTAATAAGAACAGAATAAGAATTACCTACTGTGGACTATCTTGAGGGAAAGATGTTAATATGGATGAGTTACTGTGTTTGTATCTTTTAACAAAGAAAGTTATAAAGAATGCTAGATAGAAAAAAGAATCTAGAAGGGATTATTAATTAAGGCATTATTAATCCCTTGTCTCTCCCACATACCTCAGAAATAGAAACTGAGGAAAATTAACTCGTTCAAAGTTGTCCTAAGGAGTAGAAATCAAACTACATCTGACTCTCAAGCTTATTCTTTGCATAGGTGCTGTCCAGTTAAATGTTCTGCAGTGATAGAAGTAATTCTCCTCTCCAGTTTTATTGAGTTATAATTAATGTGGAAATATTCTTTATGTGCACTACTAGATATGATAGCCATTAACCACATGTGGCTATGAAACACTTGAAATATGACTAATGTGTGTGTGAGAAACTGTGAACTTTAATAATTTAAAATATATACCCAGTTGTGGCTGTAGGTACGCTACTGGGCAGTATGGCTTTAGATCTTGTTTCTTACAGAGTGTAAGTTCTGCTACTATGTAGTATTCCACAAATTTGTGTATGACATTAGACAAGTTATTTAGTTCTTGAGCTGCAATATAACAGAGTTTGAATCTTTAAAGACTTTATTTTAGCATGCCACCTTCCTAGCTGAAATATAGAGCAATTCTCTGGTGCTTATCAGATTAATCCCCAACTTACCTGCTGGGCCTTGAAGACTTTCCCCCAACTTCATTTCACTACTTCTCTTTCTCATTCTTGCTTTTTCTCTTTCACAAAGAAAAAGAAAAAAAAAAAGCATTCTCGTTCTTCTCTCTATCCCTGTTTCCTCAACTTAAACATTTCTAACTCCCTAATCAATGTGCCTTCTCTTCAAGTCTACCTCAAAATTCAAGTTTTTCTAGAAGAATCTTCTTAATCCCATCATAACAATCAGGTACTGAGACCTGGTAACAAGTACCCAGGGGTTAATGCTTGTTCAGGAATATTTTAGTACATCCTTTTTACTTTTTTTTCCTTACTTTTTTGTGTTACTTAGTAAATGTAAGAAAAAGGGGCTGGGGATTTAGCTTAGCGGCAAAGCGCCTGCCTGGCAAGCACAAGGTCGTGAGTTCGGTTCCCGGTACCAGAGAAAAACCAAAAAAAAAAGAAAAAACAAGGATTGTTTTCCTTTGTATTGCCTCATCAGTTTAGCTCTTTGTTCAGCAATTTCATTTTTAAAAGTTACTGAGTGTTAAAAAAATGGTAAATAGTATAACATTTACACTTAATCACTATTCTGATAGACATTTTGTTTCCTTCAAATCAATTGTCTTTTTTTTTTTTTTGTAAAGTCCTGTGGCCAAGATACCATTTGAGTTTAATATATTGGAAACATTATATAGTGGAGGCCTGCCGTGTAGGGAAAAGATCCACAGATTGCGAAGTCAGACAAGTCTGGTTGGGAGTCTGGTTACAAAGATGTTGAATGTATTATATGACCTCTGAGCCAGTTGGCCTTGAATTGTTGTGAGGATAAAGATATATAAAACACCTATTATCATCCTGTAAAAAGAAGATATGATCAGTAGGTGTGCGCTGATATCACTATTTTCTCATTACAATGTTCCTTAATATAATTTTAAATGATTGCTGAAACATTCAGTTGATTTACTGATAACTGATTTATTTAGTCATTTACCTCTTTGTAAATATTTTTATTTTGCTTATTTCTTAGTCTGAAACTGTAGGTAGAAATAACTGTCTACCATTATGCCAGAATCTCTTACAGAAGTACCTACAGTGAGTGGTGTTGTTTTGGTTGTACTTGATTAATTGGTGTATTTTAAAAAGTTTTGATTTATTGGCGGATACTGGCAACGTTCCTTTACATCTAATTAAGTATTTGCATGTTTTTTTATGGTGGGAGCAATGGTATAAAGGTAAATAGGTATAATTTTTGTCTTGAGCTCAAATTCTAGAGTGGTAACACATGTCAACAAACAATTCACAGCGACAGTGTAATAAGATCTAAGGGAAAT